GATTGCTGCAGGATGCCCCGCCAATGAAGCCCAAAGGACGCCAATGCGGTAGAGGCGCATCCTTCCCAGTAACATGGCTCAGGTCGAGGCGGGCCACCCACCAGTCCAAACCGCCCAACCCCGGTGTCAACAATGACCAACCAGCCGGCATCAGAAGCGTCAACGCTGCCAGGGAACCTTGGAAGATGTCTCAACCCCTCCCAGCAGGCTCAAATCGAGACAAAGACGGCCATAAAACAGCTGGGACTTTTTTCCGATGGAAAAACCAGATCGTACCGTGGAAAGGCACAGGTAGGGTCCGGGCTGTTCTCAGGGTTTGTTTCGTCATTTGTTGGCGGGATCCCATGTCTGGCGTGGTTTGGCTAGGCCCGGTGCCGGGCCCGTCATGGTAATGGCCCGCATGGCTGGTCCTGGAAGTGTCTCTGCTCGTGCCTGCGCTTTCGCGCTGCTTTGGTGCCTTTTTTGGCGCCTTCTGGTGCTTGGGTTTTCAGGCCGGGATCGGGCGTGTATTTGGCTCGCACCAGGTTGATTTTCTTGTTGTGTTTGTTCGTGTGGTCGGAGTAACACTGGCTTGAGGTGATGGCAGACGGTCTGGCCGGTGGCCGTAACTGAGGGATGGAGACTGACGGTGGCCAGAGACGGCAGACACCCTTGTCGACCCCGTCCGTGGAGTGGCCCCAGCCAGCCAGCCAGCCAGCCAGCCAGGACTGTTTCGACCCTTTGTGGAGGGAGTCTGCCCTCTCTGCGCGCCCTCCGGGTCGGCAGGCTCATGGGAATGCGAGAATTCTGGAAGAATGTCGTTCAATCCGGGAATCATTCGTCTGTCGCCATGGCAGTCATTTTTAAGGCTCAATCGTGCTGGTTTTTGTGTTGAACGGATCGAGGTCGGCCTGTGACTTATACGTGTCCGACGGTGGGAAAACGGTGGTGAGGGCCAGTTGGAGGTACCGTTTCCAGGTCAGTGGAATCCAAAGAGGGCGATAGATAGAGCCGCGAATGCTCAGCAACGCAGATGAGAGCAGCTCGAAAGACGACAAACAGCAAGAAAAGGACGAGCAGAGGCGGCAGGAAGGTGAGGGAAAAAAGAGAGAGAAAGAGGAGAGGAACGGGGGCAGGTTGGGCGATTTATGTGAAGTACATGGCAAGAGGTACCTTACCTACCTGCCTGTCTCCTCCTCCTTCCAGCCTGTGCTGTGTGTGTGCTGTGTGCTGTGCTGTGTGGCCATGTCCACCATTTACCACCTGCACTTTACAGTGCCTGCCTGTCCTTGCCTCACGGTGCAACGGTGCCTGCCCATCTTTTGCTGCCACACAATCAATCAATGGCTGCAGGTGCTCTCGATGAGCTGCTCTTTCCTTCCCAGTTACCTACTTATCTTACGACTCACCGACTGCTACTGCCCAGTTCCTTCCTTTTAGAAATGCCTATTTGAATATAATAGAGGACGCCCGGGGGGAAAGGTCAATCGTGATGTCCGGTTCAATCTGCTGTGTGACTGCCACACTCGCTGAGAACATGGACGGCTCTTTCTTCAGCTTGCTCTGTCAGGGAACGAACCGGCGTTAGCTAGAGGCGTGGCATTGCATGGCTGCCCCTCTCTTCCCGTCCCCGTCACCTCCTCACAGCACCTCGTTTTCAATCACCTCTCCGTCCCATTTCAAAGCCAATTTGATAGACGCCTCACCATTCGATCTACGTCCGGTTTTTGCTTGCTTTATTTCTCTTCAAAGCCTCCCATCTTACTACCTTTTCACCTCCCACTGCCAATGCTACCCTCTCGGACTCGAATTACTGACTGCCAGACTGCCTGACCACTGCAAGGTCGTCATATCGCCAGTCTCATACTTTCTCGCTTCGGCTTGACCAATACCCACGTGTGCCCCCTTTCCCCGTTTTATTACGAGAAACATGGCCTGCCTCCCCGAACCTCCCCCAGCATTGGCCGACATCAGCAATTCCTGCCTCATCTCATCTCGTCGCCTTCTCCGGTCGTTGTCTCCGTCGTGTCATTCAGCATTCTCGGCCTCGTGCCCTCCTCCGTTCGTAGCATCTTTTACTTGCACAAGCAATTCAAATCAGCCAAGCTCCTCCCTCCATGCCGGCTGTTCGATCAATTGCACTGTCTCGCCACGCTGGCTGACCTGTCGGGAGCTAACTGGCTGGCTGGGTGCCTGGTCGGTTGGTCTGCTGGACGGCCGTGTCTGTCACGCCTCCGGGATGGGTGGCTTTTTTTCATCCTCTTTCTTTTACCTTTTCCTGTCTCATTTTCTTAGTGGGTGGAATGGATGTGCCTCGACACCTTCATCTGCCTGGATTCCCATGGATTGCCTCGTCCTATCCTTAACCTCCTCGGCTATCCATCCTGTCCAGATCTCTCACACACAGTACATGCACCACAATGTATTTCACATTGCCATCCCTCGCCGTGTGGTCGGGGGAGCCCAAGGTTGTCTCCATCCGTGCATGTCACCACGCCCAGCACCGGCCCCATCCGGGAGATGATGGGACGAGAGACGAGACGCAGAGTCGCAGACTGCCGTCTTGTGCTTGCAACGACTTGACGGCGTCTGCTGCGCCTTTCGCCCCAGCTCGATTCATCGAAATCCATTCATCCCTGCCCACGACGCCTCCCACGCGAGCCTGTACGACCCTCATCGTGAACGATAACTGTTTGCCTTTGGCCCGTCGAGTTCCTGTACCGTTCCGCATTGGCTTCACCGCTTGAGCCGATTCGGACGCATGCCTGGATGGATGCCATGGCTCCCCACCTTCGCACCCTTGGTGCCATGGCCAAGCACCCAAGATGCCGGACCTCCCACCTTCTCTCTCACCCAGTCTGACGACTCCTCTCGCCTCCTGTCTTCACCCAGAATTGACAGCACGACGACAGTGGCACGATGTGGTTCCAGCCTATTTGTTCGAAAGAGCTTCGCTAGCATGAAAGTCATGGTTAGGACATTCCGAGCACTCCCTGAAACACAGCGGTGGTGATGGTCTTCTCCTGGTGGTTGCCGATCTGCCCAAGATGAGGGAGACCAGGCCAAGGGGAAGGGCCCGAATCAATCTGACCATCGCTGTGCGTCCAGCCATCTTCGATCTCGACCCACCTGGCCTCACCGTGACCCCAGGCTGCCGCAGCCATGTTCGTTGGCGTCGCTAATCCTGTCATGAGCAAAGTTTCCGGGAGATTTTCAAAGTGTGATTCTGGTGCGTGGTAAGGATGCGTCGACTTCAGTACGACCAACAGAGAGCACAAGACGGGGTCGATCTTGGATATCCAGCAACACAAGCACAAGCATCTCTCGGCGGATGAAACCTGCCGCTCTCTGATTGTCCGAGATGCAAAATCAGGGCGCCTGACAAGGACGCTGCGACAAAATGAACCGTCTCATGAAGGCCCAGACTTGGTGTGGAGAAGATACCGAAAGTGAGTTTGGCCGCGGGCCTCTCCTCTGGACCTTGCAACATTGGCGTGCCATTGAGACGGACGAAAAAAAAAAGCAATTGCAAATCTTGGGCAGAGTTCGTCGAGGCGTACCTACCTTTTGGAGATCTTCGGACCTGCCTCCTGCAGGCGGCATGCCCCTTCCCAGTCAGTCCAGTCCCCCACCTCCATTTTGGCTTACCTAGGTTTACGGCGTATGTCAATGTTCCCTGTCTGCCCGCCCTGCACGCCCGCCCTGTGACGGTTCAGTGAATCTGCACTGGGCTGGCTGGGCGGGTTTTATTAGCGGAATGGAGGGAACATCCAGTGCACCGTCGTCTAGCGCAAACGTCGGGCCCCATAGACGCAGTGGAGCGGGGGCACAGACCTTGCACGGCGCCATCAACCTGGATGCCCGATGTCTGTTGATGATTTATTCTCCTTCCCCTGTCTCAGTCACAAGCATTGGGAAGCAGTGATGATTATGCTTGATGGACATGTTCTATCATTTTCAGCCCGTCATCCGTGTCACCGGTCGCTCATCCTAAGCTGGGGTGGATTTGTTGGCTGCTGTCCTGCATTATCTAATGATGTTGATGTTATACGTCGCTTTCACCAGTGAAATAAATCAATGGCAACGGTGTCATATAGCTTGGGGTCATGTGATGCCAACTCTGTCGCTCTCATTCGCGGCTGACTGTGTTATCGCTAATGATTGGAATTCTGTGCAGCTTGTTTGACGTCGGCCGCCAAGTCTGAGACCATGGTCGTGGATGTGATCATCCTCAAAAACCACCGATGCCATGGAGGTCCGTAGCTTATCACGACTTTCTCATTGGAACTACCTTCGATACCAAAAGTTCTCGACAAATGCCCTCGTTCTCAATTTTGGTTCCTCGAGATTTAGAAACCCCGTCAAAGTAGTCGCTTTGGACAGGTGGATAAAGCATCGTCCGGGAGCTGGAAAGGGACGTCAACGGTGCCTCTAAATCTCGACAGGCTGCAGCTTTGGATTGATAGTTTCATGTCTAGCATTACAACAGGAGTGGGCCGGCAATGTTCATTGACCCATGTGGAGTGGTAATGACACTGCTGTCGTTGCCCAAAACACACCACACAATGAAGCAGTCTCGGTGAACACTTCGGTGAGCAGACCGGCAAGCCACGTGATGCACTTTACGCGAAAACACGGACCACACCCTGCCGTAACTGATGGCAGTCGCCCTGCAAAAACCCCTGCTGCAAAGCGCCCTCAGCTGCCCGCCGTCCGCCGCGGGGTCCCACCCCAGGCAGTTGCGCCCTGTGGCACTGTCTTGCAGTGCGGTGGGCTCCTCCCCCGTTCCTCGTTCCCCTCCTGTTATGCGTTAAATCGCTTATCGATAACCAAAAATTTCTTTACCTCCGACCGCGTTCGCGTCCCGCCTTTGTCTTGACTCTGTTTCTTCCCTCCCCTCCCCCTCCATAGTCAAGCCGTGAGAGCAACCGCCGAACGACCCCAAACGAAACGCAAGCCGAACCGCCGAGGACATCTTTACTGATTTTTGTTTGGACAATTACACCCCCAACAGAGCCACCATGCGTTACGTTCTCGTCTCAGGCGGTGTCATCTCCGGAGTGGGCAAGGGCATCATCGCCTCGTCCACGGGTCTTGTGAGTTTTTGAGTTCTGTGGCTGAGGATGTTGTCCGGGCTGGGAGGATGGCTGGCATTTGGCTAGAGCAGAAGAATAGGACAGAAATGCTGACTGTCGAAAAACAGCTCCTGAAGACCCTTGGATTGAGGGTGACTAGCATCAAGATCGACCCTTATCTGTCGGTGAGTGAACTTTCCCTCGTGCCCCACCATCTGTGTGAAACCTGACTTTGCTGACGATGACTTGCAGGTCGATGCCGGTCTCATGGCTCCCGCCGAGCACGGTGAATGTTTCGTGGTTCGTATTAGTAGCCCAATCCAATGCCATGTCCCGCCATGAATGGGTGCAAGTGCCCCTCACTCACACCAGTGAGACCAATGGACCGGGACAGACATGGCCTCAATTCATGACAGAAACGCTGACTTGGACCAGCTGCAAGATGGCATGGAGGTAGATCTCGGTAGGTGACCTTCCTCAGAGGAGCGACAGTCTCCCCCCTTGTCAGGGGCAACGCAGCCGCCATATCATAACAGCAAGTCTGACTCCGATGCTCGCAACACAGACCTGGGCAACTACGAGCGCTACCTGGCCATCCGCCTTACGGGCGAGCACAACATCACCACCGGCAAGGTATACCGTCACGTCATCGAGAAGGAGCGTCGCGGCGACTACCTCGGAAAGACGGTTCAGGTGTACGTTTGAGGAGTTGCTTGGCGGGCCTTGAGTGGTAGCTGACATTGGTCCAGCGTCCCCCACGTCACCGATGCCATCCAGGACTGGATTGAGCGCGTGGCGAAGATCCCTACCGATGACTCTGGCGAGGAGCCTGACGTCTGCATTATTGAGCTTGGGTGAGTTTTGATACTCCTTTCCAGGGGTACTTGAAGCCAAGTCGTTGTCTTCGTCTTGGCAATTTGTAGGATAAGGCTGACTGAAACTCTGCAGAGGAACTGTTGGTGATATTGAGAGCGTATGTGCTGCACCACACATTTTGCCCAGCGGCACCCACTAACAACAAACCAGATGCCCTACGTCGAGGCATTGACTCAATGTTTGTACCCGTCAAGCTTCTTCTCTATGACTATTTCTGACCCCCGATAGTGCGCCACAGAGCAGGAAGCGGCAACTTCATCCAGATCCACGTCTCCTACGTGCCCACCATCCACGGCGAGCAGAAGACGAAGCCCACACAGCATGCAGTCAAGACGGTCCGCAGCTACGGTCTCGTTCCCGATATGGTATTTTGCCTGCTGCCTCCAAATCGCTGCCTTGCTAACCCCTCCAGATTGCCTGCAGATGCGAACAGCCCCTCATGGAGCCCACCATCCGCAAGATCGCTCTCCTCTGCCAGGTCGACGTCCCCCAGGTTCTGGTGGTCCGTGACATGCCCACCATCTACCAGGTTCCTCTGCTCCTGAGCGAGCAGGGCCTGATCCCCTGGCTCCGCAAGGCCGTCAACCTTGACGCTCTCCACATTCCCCAGGCCCGTATCGAGCAGGGCGCGGCTCTGTGGAACACCTGGGCATCCGTCGTCAGCCGCCCCTACGAGGGTGAGCTGAATATTGCCCTCGTCGGCAAGTACGTCCAGTCTCAGGACGCCTACCTCTCCGTCGTCAAGGCCCTGGAGCACTCTTCGATGCACCTTCGCAAGAAGCTCAACATCATCTGGGTCGATGCCGAGCACCTCGAGCCCAAGGCCAAGTCTGAGGACCAGGCCCAGTACCACAAGGCCTGGCACTCCGTGTGCACCGCCTCCGGCATCATCGTCCCCGGCGGTTTCGGCACGAGAGGCACTGAGGGTATGATGGCAGTTTCCAAGTGGGCCCGTGAGAACGGCACCCCCTTCCTTGGTGTCTGCCTCGGCTTCCAGACCGCCATCATCCAGTACGCCCGCGACTTCCTCAACCTCGCCAACGCCACCTCCGAAGAGTTCAACGGCGAGGCTACCGAGAAGGTCGTCATCTACATGCCCGAGCTGAACCGCAACAACCTCGGCGGCACCATGCGTCTCGGTCTCCGTCCCACCGAGTTCCAGCCCGGCAGCGAGTGGTCCAAGCTGCGCAAGCTGTACGGCGAGGCCCAGTCGGTGGAGGAGAGACACCGCCACCGCTATGAGGCCAACCCCGCCCACGTTGAGAAGCTCCAGGAGGCCGGCCTCAACTTCGTCGGCAAGGACGAGACGGGCGAGCGCATGGAGATCTTTGAGCTCAAGGACCACCCTTACTTCGTTGGAACTCAGTTCCACGCCGAGTACCAGTCCAAGGTCCTCAACCCCAGCGTAAGATCATCTTCCCTCTGGCTTTTTGTACCGTCACCGCTGACACCCATCCCAGAGACCTTACCTCGGCTTCATCGCCGCCGCCGCCGGCTGCCTCGACGAGGTCATCAAGGAGCAGCTCGCCGCCTCCAAGCTCACCAACGGCGTCAAGCACGTCGTCTAAAACCACCATGACCACTAAAAACAGCATTTTTCTTGCGGGTATTTCTGAAAGATGGATACACACAACGGGTATAAAGTAGAACATTGGCGGGCACGCAAGAACTGGAAACTCTCTTCGGAATTGGGCTCAAACTCCACGCGCACGCTTTTCCTTTTGGTCGTTTTTACGCTAGAGACGCGAAGGGCGGGCGGGTTCTTATCTAAAATGAAGACAACAAGACACCACATGATGAAATCACGCCGCTTGTTGCTTTGACTTGGGGTGTTAAAAGGGATTAGATGGGGACTGGAAAGCATTTTCTCGGCGCGGGCGTTTATGAAATCTTGAGGACCTTACCCTTTCTTGGGGCATAGCATCGTAGTTTCAATCTTGAATAGAAGGCGAATTGCTCTCACTCGCTCGCTCGGTCTCCTGCTCACAGTCTCGCTCGCTCGATTGTGGATCTGGGCAGTCTGAATCTTTGTGGGGCTGCAGGATGGGGTCGTTGACTCGTTGTGGGCCTCGCTCGAGTCTCTACGCAGCTTCTGGTATAAGCACACGAGCAGATACATTCTTTCGTCTACACCACAATAGTGTAAACCCAGGGTATCGAGCGTACACGAGAAGTGTTCTGTTTCGACAACTGCATCCGTGGCATCCACCGGAGGATCCACGAGATACTGCGCTTCAGCATGCTATAATGTTGATAGCTTTTCTTCTGGATTACTCACGAGTTATGCATCTTGAATAACCTCAAGACTCCACACGGGCCAAGTGTCTGGAGGAGTGTGACCTGAAAGCTAGGATCCGTGCTATAAACATTCTGTGACTTGATGACGACCGTAACAATGCCCGAGACCAAAGTGATTAACCAGTGGTTATTATATGAGAGATTTGGCGGGAGAGGCAGCTATCCTGAGTGAGAGGGGGTTTAAAAGGGATTTCAGGCGCTGCCACACAGTATGGCAACCGTGGGAGTATATTAATGCCTTGCCGGAGCGCGTCAATACGTTGCCTACGAACAACCCAAATGGAACGGACTGCGAGTGGGTTTTGAATCCGAGGCAGAGGAGCTCAAGTGGCATGGACTAAGCCTTATGGATGAATGGCGATAAAAAATGCGTTGGTCGCAATCGGCGTTCGAGTGGTTCTCGCCTGGTTTGTATCATCCTCCATGGGTTATTCGGCTGTACCTACCCAGGCACCAAGCTGCATACCGCCAGAGAGCCATACGGAGCTCTGGTTCTGGCTAGCTCGCCGCCTTGGTTTCCTAAGCAGAGGTTAGCTTTTAGCGAACCAGCCCTTGAGTAAAATCATGATTTGTTGAGGGCTAAGTCCAACGCGATTGGTGAACAGTCTAAGTGAAGCTGTGACATTTCTTATTTATATTAATTCTCGACCTGAAGTACTTTGTTTTCGTTGCGGGCTTTGACCACGTCTCAGCAGCTTCTACTCGCGTTATATCTGGGCGGACCAGATGTGCTGTGGTACCCAGCCAGGCTCCCAGACCTGATAGATGAAGCATTGGATGGTATTAATCTTCCTAGGACCTCGATGTCGTGTCATCAGCATAAATACGCCCTTTCCGTGACCCAAGGCTTGGATCCTGCCTCAGCCAGGCAGCAATTGCGGTTTGAGAAGCCACGTCATCCTCCTTCAATTGGCAAAACTGTCCAGCTGATTTTATTAAATCAGAGAATTGCTGTTCAACTTCAAAACCAAAGCAGGACTTTACCAGAAACGTTCTTAGTCACTGGGGCTTGTTAATACAGTATCTACGGAATGAATAAGTACACGACAAGCTTCAAGGACTGGGGACACGGGTTTGGTTTGATGGATCTCCGACTTGCTTTCGCCATAACGACGGAGGTTTCAACTTTTCAACTTCAACGTCAGCGTTTGTTGATAGGCAAAACCGCACTGAAAGAGCTGCATTGGTTGTCTCTCGGTGTAAGGAAACGTCTTGTAACTGGAATTTATAGTAATATCTCAGCTACTTACTCATTGTTTGCTGGTGGAACTATCTGCTGGGGTATCTACGGGCTGGCTGAAGGCTTCTTATTTTTCTCCTCAGAAATGTGGGCACATTCCGTCCTTGTCGTCCTCGATCGATGGCTCCTTGATTTGAGGACCGCAAAGTTCAAGGTGGAGGAAGTGTGAAGCTGTGAAGTCGGAAGGAGCAGATTCAACGACGTATTTTACCTTTGCTCTGCGTCTCTGCTAGGTATTATCTTTTCCGCATCATTCGGTTGAATACGGCTGCAGACTCGAGAGACGGAAATCTCAAGAGCCTCGTACATTGCCTAGGTCTGTAATACCGATATCCCCAGCCGGAGGTCGAATTGTAATCGCCCTCAGTGTTCGTAATTCCTGATGGCAACATTTCCCAACGTATGCATCGAAGCTCTATTCGCTATGATTGGCTTGCAGAAACCTTGTGGAACTTGCGGTGCTTCTTTTTATAGGAGACACGGCCCCTCGGACATCATTGCAATTCTCGAAATTGACGATGTGATTGCGCTCGTTGGGTCTGCATAACTTTCGCTCGCAAGTTTCCCCATCAAATCAGACACGTCCCAGACACCTTGCAGTCGCGTTAAATAGAGGTCTGCCTCACATAATGATGCCGCCTCCATCATAGTGGTTCCTGAAAGCCGTGATGCGCACATGAGAGTGGAATTGGTGCATCTATTGTGCAAAGTCTTCCTCAACAAGACGAAAATATTGAAACCGTTGTAATGTCATTCTTTGTAAGTGTCGTCCAAGTCCTCGGAAATTAAGGGTGAATAAGCTTCGAGTTGGTTGGGATTAAGAAGCCATGTCGACAACGGCATGCATTGTTCGGTATGCTAGAGGTTTACCAAGCTGGGACTATCGTTCGAGTTTATACTCTGCTTCGTTCTCCGCCGATGACGTCCTTCCACCGAAATAATCAGTTTGCTCATAAGAATCTCGAGATGGGTTGTTCATGGCGAACAACCTTGCTATCCCGATGATTATAATGCCAGTAGCAAGACCTCTTGATCCCCCTTTCGGACCGCAACGAAATCGATCTCACATGATTGCCTCCACCGGTCACGCAACCCTTTGGAACTAAGATCGAAAGAGTTGAAACTAGTTGGGCCAAATATGTAGCATGAGAATTCAAAGACACCGGGATGCTGGCTTGTACGGCTTCTATTCATGGACTGCAATGGACGCAAAGCTTTTCTGTCTCAGGCAACCACATTCTACCCTGCCAAAGATTCGAGTTCTTTCCATAAATATCTAATCCCGGTGTTAAAATCTAGCATGGTGCGTTTACTGGACCGACGACAGACATAAGGGTTGTGTCAAAGATACAGAGGTTGGCTTTCCGGGTTCCAACGCACAACCTTTGCAAATATCACGGCAGCCTGAGGCTGATGTCCAGATCATTTCACAGCAACTATTAATTCTGTGATTCCCCGGTACTGAGAGCTCATATCCCAACTTCTTGTCTGCGCCTTCTGTTCTGTACTCAACCTTCTCAGCATCGTCCGCACCCAATCTTCCAAGCACCCACAAGCACCCACATTCCACCATTCGACCCTCAACCGTAACAATGTCCAGTTCAGACACTTCTCAAACGGCTGATGCGCCATCAACTGCCGGAATCCCACCACAGAGCAACGTCTCAGAAGAGGTTATACGTTCACAACTGGAATCCCTCTCCATCATGCCGGAGATGCGCGCAGAGCTACCCGGGCTATACTGCTCCTTCTGCAAAATCCTGCATCCCGCACATCTGTTCTCGGAGACCGAGCAATGGAAAAGGGACGATGAGAGGATGTGCATCAACATCACCGGCACAATGAGGTTCTGTCCTCACGCGAAGATGTCGATGACGGATATTTGGCAGTACTTCGAAAGTTATTGCGATGACGAGATGGCAACAAATCCAATTTTCACGAGGGCGTGTCATGTCTGTGTTTTCGAGTTGCCGGAAGAGTTCAGCTACAACAAGGCTGAAGAGAACACGGTAAATCCCACCTTTACTTTCAACTATTGCGGGAAACGACAGTCCTATGACTACGCAAGGCTCGACATCGAGTGGACCTTGCCTGTCGCGGCGATGCATCCCGGTGACGAGAATGGGGTCACGGTGGCTACCATGCGAGAGAAGCTGCAAGATTTTGACCGGACACGTGAGGACATCATTTGCTCACATGCCGTAAGGGAGGACATCTTGACAGCACTGGTGTCTGCGAGTGGAGATGTTGATGGAGACGTGTATCCCGTGGAGTGTGGAGGCTGTGATACGGAGTACTTTGCTGAGAAGCATGACGATTTTGTCTTTTTGCGAAGAGAGACACTGTGCGTTGTGAGGAAAGATGATGGTAACATGCCGGTTTTAGATCGTTGCAGTGGTCTGGTTCAGGTTGAGTAACTTGAGCTTTGTGATTGCAGGGCCTGCAAGTAAAATCTGGCCCGCCAAAGGCACACAATTGAGTTGCAATAGCGAGAAATGCAAGCGAAATTATTGTTAGTCGCCAGAAGAATAGGAAGGGTTCAATCAGTATTCAGGAGCGAGCGCGAAGAAGAGATAGTGATGTGTGAAATGCACAGAATGCCACCTGATCGGGTCTTCGGCTCGTTTTCCAATGTAAGTGTTGGATGTGGAACCTGTATCTCCGACTAATGTGCTCGGGGTCATCGTATGATGTGTTGGAGAGCAAAAGAAGCGCAAGCAAAACGAACACCAACGTTCGAAGACCATGGTCGAAGTGTTGGGTGTGGCCTCGGCACTGATTGCCATCGTGACGGCCGCCTACTAAACTAGCCAACCGCTTTACAATACCATTCGGGGAGGTCACGTCGAGATCCATTTGGTATATTGCTAACAGCCAGAGAGGCGTCTGGTATCATTCTACCTCTTCCTTTGAGTTTTGACCGGGCATCTGTAGTCTCAGAAGCCGTATCGTGTAGTTGTCAAGGGTGAGTTCGATGGGGGATGAGCATTTATCGGGGTTCATGGACCAACTAAACGTCAGTTAATAAAGTTATACTCCAAACTTACAGTCAAGTAAAGAGTATAAACCAATGACGGGCTCATCCTTAGTGCGTACTGCATTCTGGTCGTAGCGCGAGGACGTATGACTATTCTGCGCCGCCTAGCGTTCCGGTATTTTCTAAACGTAGGTGTTGGCAAAAAGAATATTTACTGAGCAGTTAAGAAAGCCTGCCTATGTCTCTGTCATTCATCTTGACTGGTCACTCGAGACCGAATACACTCATGCTGGCACAGCAGGTGACGGGGGCTGGAAACTGCCTTGATCTGATGTGAAGGCAGTCAGACTTTTGCAAACTAGACATATATAAGGGAGGAGATGGCACTTGAAACGACTACTTACCAACTACGGATTGGTTTGTCTTTGCGTTAAGCCACCTAGAAAAAGCCGCAGAGATTTATTGTAGTCGTGTTCAGGGGCGACCACACCCGTCAAGTCGCAATCGTTCTCATCGGTACCCTGGACTCAGTGTGCAGCGCGCGTCCTCTCAACACCCATTCTCTTGTATCTAACGCTGAAAGGTGTGTTAGCTCGAAATTGGCCTGCAATCGTAGCGAGAGTTCCGGCAAGGGTCGCCTGATCCAAATGAATGACTAGAGACATCTACAGTTGGAAGTCCCGAAATGATTACCTGCTTGTCAACCCTTCTCCGCCGTTCCGCGCTTCCATCCCGACGGTATTTCGTTCAGAATAACCGGACTATGGCAACAGCTGGCGGAGACTGGTCTCAACTCACAAACATGCAGCCAGCTCTTCACGTCTTGACAGGACAATCATGATCGTCGGATGTTATCAGGAAGTGAACAAGTGAGAGTTCATTGCTTGTTGAGAACGCCTCTCTGTGAATCGGCAAAGCTTATGTGGAAGGTGTTTCACGCACTTGAAAATGGCGTGGATGGGTGGACGGCGAGGTATTTAAGAGCTATCCTTCCTGGTTTGCAGCAGTACCGGGCACAAAAGCCATATGGTGAAGGCGATAGATGAAGGAATCTGCAACGGCAGTTGACTCAATGCATGTCAAGTGACCAAAGCTGAGGAATAGACTCGGATCGCTCCACAAAGTTTAGGTTGCCACTCCGCCGTCATCGTTCGTCGTCTCCATCCCACAAGTCCCACTTCGAATAACCAAAGCTCGTCTGCGATCAGCCTTTTACGTCTTGTATAGTTCTAGTTCTTGATTGAGGATACAGCCCCGACTGAGATCTTCTTTATATTATCAGCTGCAAGGAAAACCTCAACTGAAGACACAACTAATCGCGTCTTCTCCATCTTTTGCTGGAAGTTTTGTCAACACGCTTATATCAGCGACATCAGCGACACTAGCGATATAAGCGACATCACGGTTGAGAATCAGGCATCTTCATCCTTCAGATGTAAGTTCTCGCCAGGGAAAAGGTTACTTGTCATGTGGAGGCTGAAAGTATAAAATGTCTTGCGTGTTCCGGGTATGGCTTTCTTCGCAAAAACAACAATAAGAACTCTGCGAGAAAGGTTCTTGTTTATCCCAGTGCTAGAATCAACCATGTTAACACTGCTTCATAACTTCTACCTCTCGCGAGTCCCCAAAACCCACCATCGTCGATTATCCTCATTGCTGCGAGCGTATTCTTCCTAATCGGTAGAATGGGAGTTGACGGAACGTCGCCTCAACGCATGTCATCGACGCTGTCCATACTCACGTACCTAACTTACTGAAAAGACGTTCAAGTCAAGTCGTCTTTGTTCTCGGCATGACATTCGTTGCTCTTTTGATGATATTTCACCCAGAAAAGGTTTATAAAGACGCTTCTTCTGCCAGAATCCGCATCGTCTAATACTGGCAGGTGCGTCATGATGCAAGTCACCCGACGCTGGGGATACATAATAACTCCCTAGCACGCTTCTGCTATTTTCTTTTGAACAACAGCGCCAATGAGAACACTCCACGCATCGTAGGGCTGAAAGTCTGCGGCAACATGTCATCTAAATTTCCTCGCGGTGATCAGAGGCATCCTACTAACAACCTCAGAACCTTTCTTAACCGTCAAGTATCTCCTCTGTCTAGTATCGGGACCGGTGTATACACATGAAATAACGCACCACATTATGTCCACATGTGGGCATCTATGGATACTATGATACTGATAATGGTGAAGCAGACTTACCCAGCATATAATTGAATTCAGACAACCCAGCCGATTACTTTGATCGACGTGATCTCCTTTGCTGTGCATCGGTGTTGAAAGACATCTCAAGCATATCCTAAGCCCATTTATACTACAACAGCAGCACCCGGCATAGTGCCATTGCAACTGTCTTCACGCTACCCCGAGGCCCGGCCCTTCCCTTCAAGTCACCTTCGCTCCACCTTAGGGACAAATATAAAGCCTTAATACAACTCGTCCAGATACACTTTCCAACGGCCAGGAATGGACAAGTAATAAGCTCGTTTGCCCTCGAACTTGGGAGAAACAATGCCCACACAGCAGCGAGCTGAGCACTCCCGAATCCTCCAAACGTATCTTGTCACCCGCACCGGATGCGCGCCTTATTTCCCTGCTCTTCATCGCTCCACATCATTATAGTATTCCACATGTAATTATTAGCCGTAGCCCTCTATTTGATGATCGCGGTTGAGGGTTGGCTACCACTACGCATAGGTAGTCATTGCCAGTCGGCTCTTACGGTTACGATTTGGGCGATTTGGGAGAGAGGAAATAATTGGCGGGGTTCAGCATATCGTTCAACTGGCCTCCTTAATATACCAACTCAGTGACTGCTACGCACAAAGAACAAGCGCAAACAAGACACAAGAGCCATCAGAGACAAATCGCACTTATCATGAAGCCATCGTGGCATTTCATTAACCATATCTCATTACTCTAATAACACACCTCACCTCAAACTCTGCTGTATGCTTTCCTCCTCCCGTCCCGCAAGAAACACCCGTCCCTTGAGTTCCTCAACAACGCTGTCTCTCATCCACCACTCCAGATCCTTCTCATCTGCAACCTTGGCCTTCTCCTTGGCGCCAATCTGCGCTCGGCGATCAGCCCACTCAAACAGCATCTTCAACCCGCACAGACGCTCCCTGCTGGTCCCATCCATGCTCCTCTCCAGCACGAGGCGGGCGTCGACTGACGATCCGGAGCTTTCGCCCGCTGCGCCTTCTGTGCTTGCGCTGCGGTCCAATACAGTGGCACGTTCCGCGTACGTCAGGTCGCGGAGGGCGTCGAGGTCGAAGAGCCATTCGAGAGGATCGCGCTTGCCGTTGTCCGTGACGTCTACCAAAGCATCTCTGCCCAGGGCGCGGAGAGTAGACGAGAAAGGAGCCTCCTGGGCAGGGCGACGACGCAGGTACAGGCTTTGGTTCTGTCTGAAGGCATCGATGAGGGCTGGATTCTTCTCAAAGTCGATCTCGAGGTCCCAGAAGGCTGGGCCGGCGTTGGTTCGGATGCTTGCGATTTCGGACAGAGGAGGCAGGAGACAGGGAGTTTGTCTAACAACGGCGGCATCGGAGTCTTCAGGGTCGCCTTTCTGTCGCTTGCGGCGGATCGAGATGGATGAAGAGATGGGCTGGCCCGTTGCCACGTCCTTTGCAACCAGGCAGCGATTGTCAGTGGCCAGGACCCAGAAATGGCGGAAGGCTTGGAGATGGGAGCGGTTGTCCTGGACCGAGGTTGGAAAGACGGGGTAGAACGAGATCAAGAGGGACGCTATGGCCATATTGCTTGTGCCAAATGTTGCTGTGCCACAACCGAGGAAAAGAGATCCGATAGCAAGATGGGCGGCTAGGTGAGAGCCATACGGAGTTTCGGGGTCGTCTCGGCCGTGGAGGAGGCGAAGGCGGCGGAGGACGACAAGATCACCCGTTCCTGCCATGACAATTGCCGCGGAGAGAGCAAGGACATCCTGGCACATGCGCGCGTTGGAGCGTGCAAGTTCTTCGTCGTATACAGGAGTTTCCTGCGAGCGACCGGTGCCAGGGATGCGGGAAATGCGAATAAAGTTGTCGAGGTAGTGGACGAGGAGGTCTCGGACCTTTGTCGACGCGCTGCCTGCATACCGCAGCGCGACGGAGAAGCAGAGGCCAGTAAGGATGCTGAAGAAGGGCAGGTCGGTGCTCTTCAGCTTAGAGATGCCTGTTAGCTTGTGACGGACGCGGAATGGTTTGGGTAAGCTGCCCAATATCCAGTCGAATGTGGGCTCAATCTTGCTCCACATAATGAGGTTCTTGGCGACTGTGCGCAGGAGGAGGATGTCGGGGCGGATATAATCGAACTGAACGATGGAGTCTGGTACGTCAATCTTGCGAGCGACGATGTGGTCCTCGGACTTCATGAATATCAATGTCAATGCCATCACTGCGCCAGCGGCTGCTCGATCAAGCACGTGAACC